CTTCCTGCTTCAGGGGTGCACGCCGAGAGGACTCCCCGCACTCTCCGCGGGGACCGGGAACTCTCCGTCCTGGCGGGGGAAACCCGGAAGCCCAGGCGTCGGTCGCGCGCCCTCTGGCGTCCGCCTGTGGAAATGTGGCCAAAGACGGGGACCTCCTCTGGAGCAAAAAGCTCAGGATTTAATCTTCACCGGGAAACCTGGAAAAGGACCCCGTCAATCTTCTGAGCTAGCTTTTGGGGACTCAGCCTTTTGGGCTCTTCTAAGACACGTGGTGAAGAAATCCTGAAGTGATTTTCCTAAAAGAAGGGAACTAAAGAGAAATAAAAGGCATGTAGACTAAAACAGAAGTAGAGCTTTAAAGTACAGCTTCACTCAGGAGCGTGATTCATAGAAACATTGTGTATGTAGAAAATCCCAAAGAATCTGCAAAGGAAATACCAGAAGCCAAAAGCGGTTTTAACAAGTTTCCAGTATACAAAGTTCACTCTCTCTACATGTATTAGCTGCATACTACCTATGAACTGTGAAAAATAAAATTTTATTAAAGATTCCACTTATAATAGCATTTACAAACCTTACAGAATACTTCGGATTAATTATCAAAGGTTGTGGAAGCCTTATACATGGAAAACTATGACAGTCATTGCATACTTGCTTTTTAAAAATAACTTTAAATTAAATTAAATTTATTATTGTTTTTTAAATTTGACCAGATAGAGACAGAAAAAGGGAAGGTGAGAAAAAGCAAACTGCCAGGTCACCCATGTGGGAGTCCAACATCCTCACGACCATGCCATCTGCCAGTCCACAAACTTTCTCTTAAAACTTCAATAAGGGGCCAAATAGGTGGTGTGGTGGTTAAGGTACTGGATTCCCACATGGCCAACTAAAGTTCAAATCCCAGACCTGCTAGCTCGCTTTCTCACTTTCTCTCTCTCTCTGTCTCTCTTTGGTGAATGCATGTACCCTATGGAAAGTTAAAAACAGAAACAAAAAACAAAAAGACAACATTAAAAACAAAACAAAACAAACACAACCTGTAGTAAGGGCTAGCAGATGGCATGGTGATTGACATGCTGGATCCCGCGTGGCTGACTCTGCAGTCTGAGTCAGTACCTGGTGGCTTGAGGGACATGCCAGGCACATGTCCATAGGTGCCTAAAGGCTCAAGAAGAGAATGAAAGAGATGGGATTGTGGTGTGGCCATCCTCCCTAGGGGATGATTTCTCACTTTCCCTGTCTCTCTCCAATGAGCGTGTGAAATACTACAAAAATTCACCCCCCCCGCAAAAAAAAATTAAGTAAATATAGGCTTTCTGGATCACATGGTCTCTGCCACATTGTGTGTGTATTTTACAACTTTTTAAAAGTTAATGTGATTCTTAGCCCACTGACCTTACATTAGTGGGCTATGGGCTAATTTTGTTGGCCCATAGACCCAGTCCCAATCCTTGCTACAGAATATTGCTGACAGAACTATATGGAGATATACCATCTTGTGGCCAGGAAAAACTAACATTGGTAAGTTGGCAGTTTTGGCCAGGACCCTGGAAAATGATCTATGAGATTATTGTATAGGTATTGGTGTTCTGAGGGCACAGGTTTATAAGCCAGAGTGGGTCATGCTGATGTCCTGTCCTTCTACCCTGAAGAAACTAGCTCTCAGACAGCTGTGTGGTTTGAGCTGCAAAGATCCATTAGAAGAAGAATTTGTCATGGGGTTTGCTGACAGTTGGTCTCTACCTGAATATTTTAAGGAGATTGAGTCAGGCCCAATAGCCAAAGACCCACTTACAAATTGCACCAAATTAGAC